GTGTGAACCCGGGAAGTGGAGCTTGCAGTGAGCCGAGATCGCGCCACTGCACTCCAGTCTGGGCAACAGAGCAAGACTCCATCTCAAAAAAAAAAAAAAGAAGAAGAAACACACAATCCGAATAACCCATTTTTTAATAACCTTCAGAACAGAAAGTACCTGACCCAGATATATTCACTGGTAAACTGACCAAATATTTCAGGAAGAAATTATACCCATTCCCCACAATCTATTTCAGAGGATAGAAGTTGTTGAAATACTTCCTAGTTCATTCTGTGAGGCCAGCATTATTCCAATGACATTTCAAAATAGAAAACCACAGACCATGATCTCTCATAAAAATACATATAAAAATCCTCAAAAACATTGGCACATCAAATCCAACAATATATAGAAAGAATCATACACCATCACCAAGTGAGATTTATTCTGGGGATACCAGGCTGGTTCAACATTTGAACATCAATTAATGTAATTCATTATATCAAGAGGCTGAAAAGGAAAAATCACATGATCCGGTGAAGAAAAAGCAGTTGACAAAATCCAGCATTCATTCATGATAAAAACTCTCAATAAGCTAAGAGGGGAACTTCCTGAAATTAATAAAGAATATCTACACAAAACTACAGTGAACATAATACTTAATAATCAGAAACTCAAAGCTTTTCCACAATATCAGGAGGAAGAAAAAGATCTACTTTCTCATCACCCCTTTCAATATCATACTGAAAATACTAGCGAATGCCATCAGGCAAGAAAATATAATTAAAGGCATACAGATTGGGAAGGAATAAATAAAACTTTGTTCACAGACAACAGGATTGTCTATGCAGAAAATCTAAAAAAAAAAAAAAAAGAAAAGAAAAGAAAAAAGACCAAACGAAAAAAAACCCCCTCCTGGAACTGAAAAGCAAGATCACAGAACACAAGGTTAAAGGAGAAAGCTAACTGCTTTCCAACGCACCAGCAACAACCAAGTGCAATTTGCTATGAAAAACACAGTGCTACTTATATTTAGCACCCAAAAGATGAAATACTTACATATAAATTTAACAAATGTAACAAGATCTATATGAGGAATAGTACAAAACCTTAATAAACAAAATACAAGTAAACCTGATTCTAAAGTTCACATGGAGAAGCAAAAGACCAAGAATAGTCAATTACTGAAGAACAAAGTTGGAAGACTAACACTACCTAACTTTAAGCCTTATTATATAGATTCATTGTAGGCAAACATAACAATGGAACAGAATAAAGAGCCCCAAAATACACCCACATAAATACAGTAAATAAACTGATGCAATAAAGCAGAGTTGCTGTTTTCAACAAATGATGTGGGGACAACTAGAAATCCACATTTAATAAAAAACGAAAAACAAAAAACTGAATCTAGACATAGATCTTATGCCCATCACAAAAATTAACTCAAAATGGATCATAGACTTCAATGCAAAATGCAAAAGTTAAAAACTGTAGAAAATAACAAAGGAAAAAACCTAGATGATCCTGGGAAAGGTAATGACTTTTTAGATATAACACCAATGTCAAGATCCACTTTAAAATGATTCATAAACAAGACTTCATTAAAATTGAAAACTTCTGTTCTGCAAAAGCCAATGTCACAAAAATGAGAAGAAAAGCCACAGACTGGAAGAAAATATCTGCAAAAGACATATCTTGGTAAAGAGACTGTTACACAAAACATTCCAAAAACACTGAAACCTCTACAGTAAGAAAACCACTAAATAAAACAGACCAAAGACCTTAACAGATACCTCACCAATGATGAGAAAGATACAGGAAATAAACACATAAAAGAATGCAGTATATTCTGTAACATTAGGGTAACATATTAAAACAACGAAATACCGAGATACCGCTAAATATCTAGTAGAATGGCCAAAATTTGGAGCACTGACAACAACTGACAGAATGTGGAGCAACAGGAACTCTCCTTCACAGTGTGGAAATGCAAAATAGTATAGTCACTCAGTTGGAGGACAATTTGGTTGTTCTTACAAAAGTAAACACATTCTTACCATATGATCCAGCAACTGCACCTCTTGGTATTTACCCAAAGGAGGTGAAAATAAATGCTAGCATAAAAACCTGTAAACAGGGATTTATAGCAGCTTTATTCAAAATAGCTAAAATTTGGAAGCAACCAAGAGGCCCTTGAGTAAGTGAATGGATAAACTATGGTATACATAATGGAACATAATTCAGCACTAAAAAGAAATGGGCTATCTTGTCCTCAAAAGGAGGAACCTTAAATGCATATTACTAAGTAAAAGAAGGCAGTCTGAAAAGGCTACGTACTATATAACTGCAACTATGTAACATTCTGCAAAATGATGGAGACGGTTTGCAAGGTTAGGGATGATAAACAATAAACAGGAAGAGCAGGGATGGCTTTTAGAACAAAGAAAGTGTCCTGTGGGGTACTGTAAGGCTGGATACATGTCATTAAACTTTACTCAAACCCATAGCATGTAAAACCACAAGAGTAAACCCTAATGCAAACTTATGGCCTTTGGACAACTATGATGTCTCAGTGTAGGTTCCTCATTTTAACAAATGTACTACTATGGTGGGCGGAGGTGTTGAAAAGGGCAAAGGCTACATATATATGTGGATCAGGGTATATGGGAAATCTATGTACTTCCTAATTCTGCTGTGAAATTAAAACTGCCTTATCAGAGTATATTTATTTTCAAAAAGAATCTAACCATCTAAAAACGTTTTCAATAACAAAAATTAAACCAATATTAAAAACCACTTCCCCATTTGTAATAAGAACTCTCAATAACAACGAATGCATAAAGAAAATGTGGTCTATACACGCAATGAAATATTACTCAGCCTTGAAAAGGAAGAAAATCTTGCCATTTGCAAAAACATGCACATACCAGAAAGATATTGTGCTAAGTGAAGAAATAAGCCAAACAGGAACAAAGTATTACATAATCCCATCTGGATGTATGCAATAGTCTGGATGTATGTATTCCCCTCAAATTCCTGTGTTGAAATCTAATCACCAAGGTGACAGTACTGTAAGGTGAGGCCTCCAGGGAGTGATGAGGTGAGGGCTCTTCCCTCTTGAATGGGCTGGGAGTGCATTCATTCTCCATCACTCTTTTGCCTCCACCATGTACAGATACAGGAAGAAGTCTCTCATCAGGCACCAGATGACAGTGCCTTGATCTTGGACTTCCCAGCCTCCAGAACTGATAAGAACAAATTTCTGTTCTTTAATAATTACCAAGTCTGAAGTATTTTGTTGTTCCAGCACAAATTAAGCTATATTTTCTGTACAGCCTGTGGAACTCCATGTACATAAAAATGTGAAACAGTTAAACTTACAAAAACATAGAGCTGAATCGTGGTTACCAAGGGCTGAGGGGGAAGGGTAACTGGGGAGGTATTGGTCACAGGGTATAAGTTTTAGTTATGCAACGAGTAAGTTCTAAATATCAAATCTACAGACCAGTGCATGTAGCTAATACTGAATTGCATACTTAAAAATCTGTTAAGAGGATGGTATGGTTTCAATTTGTTTACTTGTCCAAAGCTCATGTCCAATTGTAAGCCTCAAGGCTGGAGGTGGGGCCTGGTGGGAGGTGACTGGATCAAGGGGCAGACTTGCCCCTTGCTGTTCTTGTGATAGTAAATTCTCATGAGATCTGGTTGTTAAAAGTGTACAGCACCTCCCCCTTCACCACCCACTTCCTCCTGCTCCAGACACAGAGGACGTGCCTGCTTCCCCTTCATCCTACACCACGACTGTAAGTCTCCTAAGGCCTCCCCAGCCACGCTTCCTGTACAGCCTGTGGAACTGTCAGCCAATTAAACCTCTTCACTTTATAAATTACCCAGTCCCAGGTAGTTTTTTATAGCAATGGGAGAACGGACTTATACAGAGAATGTATCTTATCTCAAATGGTTGTATCCCAAAAGGGGCGGGGAAGGGGGAGGAAGAAACTCATGGAGGCAAAGTTTGTTTATCGCACTGTTTGTGGTGATGGTTCCATGGGTGAAAACTTTACAGGTAAGTATATTTTGCACATGGGAGGAATGTAAATAATTTGTAGCCAGAGGGAAAACTGGTTTACTAAAGACTGCTACAGATTCTCACTACTCCTCTTATTGAAAGGTAGAAGCTAATTACTCTCTAATCTAATACCGTATGTAAAGGAAGAGAGAAGGATGTAGCTTTTTGTCCGGAGCTGCGTGGCCCGACCATAGCGATTATAACTGACGACTGACGCCTGAGCTCTATACGATTCCACTCTATACCTCCTCCCTAGATTTACCTTCTTCCCTGTACTGATATCTCATACGCCAGTACAAAATGGCGCTCTTCCGGGTTCTTCATCACCCATTTTCCCACGCCCGGGAAAATGATCAACTTACCGCGCAGGCGCAACATGACGTCCGACCAAAGAAACCAAAACGTACCTGGCCACGCCCACCGCAGGGCCACCATCATCGCCCTGGCCCAACCTCCGCCCCTGCCGGTCTATATAAGGCATTACACTGCCACCAATAAACGAGACTTGATCAGGATATTGTCTTGTCTCCATTTCTCGTGTCTCTTGTCCCCCCGAGTTCCCACTCCCTCTTCTAGGGCCTACATTGACGATCCCGCGGGACGGGACAGCTTTTATTTTGGATTTGTTAGGCCTGAGGTGCCTTTCAGATAGCTACAAAGAATCATTCAATGGAGAGTTGAACCTGTGATCTAGAGCAGCGATCCCCAACCTTTTTGGCACCAGGTTTTGTGAAAGACAATTTTTCCATATACGAGGGTGTGACCCCTCACATGGTTTTGGATGAAACGGTTCGTCAGGCATTAGATTCTCATAAGGAGCAGGGAACCTAGATCCCCCACATGCATAGTTCACATTAGGGTTCATGCTCCTATGAGAATTTAATGCTGTCATTCATCTGACAGGAGGCAGAGCACAGGCAGTAATTCTTGCTTGCCTGCCACTCACCTGCTGTGCAGCCCAGTTCCTCACAGGTCACAGACTGGTACTAGTTCATGGCCTGGGGATGGGGATCCCTGGTCTAAAGGCTGGAGAAGTCCAAGCTGGAGAGAAACACAACTGCTACACCAGAGAGCAGAACTGGTAAAAAAACAAACAAACAACAACAACAAAAGAACTGCACAGTGGGATGGATGGGGAATTGGATCAAACAATTGGACAAGCTATGTAAAGGAGAAGGAGAATAATTCAGGGAAAAAAAGACAAGCAGCATCAGTGAGGTCATGATAGAAACTAACACAGAAGAATTTCCAGGAGAAAAATCATGAACGATAATTTGAAATGCAGGAGTCCCCCCTTATTCACGGGGGATACACTGCAGGTCCCCTAGCAGATCCCTGAAACTGTATAGTACCAAACCTTATATACACTATGGTTTTTCCTATAGATACATACCCTTGACAGTTTAATTTATAAATTAGGCACAGTATGATACTAACAATAAAAAAATGGAACAATTATAACAATATACTATACTAAAACTTATAGGAATGTGGTCTCTCAAAATATCTTATTCTACTGTATTCAACATATTCAAAATATCAAAATACTCAAGATATTCAAAATATCTTATTGTCTTTTCTGTCTGCAGTTGACTATGGGTAACTGAAACCACAGAGAGCAAAACTGTGGATAAGGGGGATAACTGTATGGCACAAGATTCAAGTAAGGCAGACTAGAGAATAGCCAATGGATTTGCATATAATTTAGGTTAATGGTGAGCATCAGAATAAACAAATTAAGACTACACTGAATGAAAGCGCAAGTGAGCAGTGGAAATATTTGTCAGAAAATACAACTGTGAACAATCTGCTACAAATTCTCCATGTACAGATGAATTGACAGAAACATATGGGGGGTTAGTTAAGGACCTGTGGTCAACTCAATCCTCCAGATGTTCTAGGTTTTAGCCATGAATCAAGTAGGGCCTTCCAAAAGCTGTCTGAGATCACACTGTTTCAGCAACTCCAGAAAAACCTCATTACGGGAGTTGTGCTTTAGCACTAAGTGACTATTTCTACTGCAAAATGCTAATAGTGTTTATTTCCAGGTTGGTAGTAAAAAAACTTTTCACTACATCATCTCTGTGACCAATGCAGTCAATGTTCCAGACTTTAGTGACAGCAAGTCTTCCCGTCCCATGAGAATGTAGCGCGTACTTTCCAGGTTCCATTCCAATCACATAACAAATGTGACTGCCTTGTTGTTGCAGCATCAGAAAGACCAGAGACATATCTGTACTCACGTTCCATGGCTTACAACCTGCATATGTCTACAAGCCAGCATTCTTTTATTTATGTGCATTTCCTTTAACCTGAATTTTACTTATTTCTATTTTTTTCATTTTAATCCATGGACTCCATAAAGGTAAAAAATGCAATGTAAAACAAAGTGAGGAATATATAAACAAATAACTCACCAGAGATTTATTCACTGTTTGTTGATTGTGGAAACGCACAGAGCACTCTGGAAGCATAGCTGGGAGAACAGTCGAATGGAGTGGGTTAAGGAGAGAACTGGTGTGGCTTGGTCCTAGATTCTCCTGCCCAAAATGCTCTACACAATAGCTGGAAAAGACTAAAACAACAACAAAACCTCCCTGTGACAGAACAGTCATTCATGCCTCAATAAGGGACAACAAATATCCTACTGAAGATGTACTCACAAGTACATTAACTAGTAGAGATACATACAATTTATTTTTGGATTAATGAAAACATGTATTACCTACTGATTTAGGAACAATTAATTTGCCCAAAGAAACAATGTAATAATTTAAACCAAAGAAATATACACTTAGTCTTCAATGAAATTAATATTGTAGAAATATAATTCAGCCACATTAACTATTTCACTACTAATATGGAGATTCTACACGATTCCATATAGGTGTTTCCACTAGAACACATCTTGCTTTTATACCTTTGCATCATTGAAAGGATGCATCTTTTATATACCTACGCATCATTGAAAGGATGCATCTTTTATATACCTACGCATCATTGAAAGGATGCATCTTGCAACCCAACATTTTTTGCCCACAATTATATAGGGGGGAAAATGTACATATTGTATATTTCTTGGGATATACTGTTTTAGTAATGTTTCCTAATGACATGTCTCCCTGTATCTCAGACCTCATAGAGTACGCTCTGATAATGAACAGGGCTCTGCCATTTGACTTGCTTTTGCCAATGGGACATAGAAAATATGATGAAAATATAGGCTGGAAAAGTACTTGCCCACTGGTGCTTGCCTTCTCGGACAAGGGTCAGCATGAACCATCAGACATGTGAGTGAAGGCACCAGATGACTAAAGCCTCATCTGTGATCCAGACAACATTAGCAAAGGAAATGCCCAGGTGAACACACGCCAAAATGTGAATCAACAGAACTTCTATCAAATAAAACGGTCACTTCTTTTTAAGCCAGTGAGTTTCGTTGGTTCTTCGACAGAAAATAGTAACTGATACACCTAAGCCACCAGAACTCAATGTTTTTAAGAAAATCATGTGAAGGAGATAATGTGAAATTACTTGTCAAGTACAATCACTAGAACATCACAACCTTATGTCGAAGTTTTGCAAATCACAATGCCAACCTGATGGATATCAGTGAGACTGCTGGTGCTAAGAGACCATGTGAATCGCAAAAAGCAACTCTTTGCATATTAGTAAATTGTGTTTTAAGGTTCTTCACATCATAAAAATGTCATGTTGACTTTAAAAAAACATAATACACAAAAAGGATCTCTTATAAGTAAGCATTGTACTGTATTTTACTTACATTTTAAGACACTGGTTTGGAACAGAAGTGAGACATGGTCTAATCTTCCCTCTTTAAATATGTAAAATATGCTATTATTTTCCTACAGAATTTATGATTTCCAAGAACAGATTACTGACACTAAGTGGGAAACACTTGTGTTATTTGCCCTTGAGGTCACATAATTCACAGAAAGAGTTGGGGATAACAAGGAACAGAGATGGTTAACGGAATGTTTCTGCTTGGTTGGTTGGTTGGTCGGTTTTGAGACAGAGTCTCATTCTCTCACCCAGGCTGGAGTGCAGTGGCACAACCACAGCTCACTGTAGCTTCGCCCTCCTGGGCTCAAGTGATCTTCCCACCTCAGCCCCCCAAGCAGTTGGGGCCACAAGTGCATGCCACCACAACCAGCTAATTTTTTTTCTTCTTGTAAACACATAGGGTCTCCCTATATGGCCAAGGCTAGTCTCAAACTCCTGTGCACAAGCGATCCTCCTGTCTTGGCCTCCCAAAGTGCTATGATTACAGCTGTGAGACACTATGCCCGGCAAGGGAAAGTACTTTATTATTATTTTTTCCAGTGGGAGGGGTGGGCAGGCACGGAGGGGCTGAGAAAGTACTTTAAAGCAATGTTTGTTCTTAGTTGACTTCAGTGTCAACAAAAATCTAAAAAAAAAAAAGAAAAAAAAAACTTTTGACTTAATTGGAGCAAAATGAATAACATTAGCCAAAAAGTCAGGAAGCATAATATCTGCACACCATGTGGCCCCGGCAAGTCACAGCTCCTCAAAGCCAAATTTTTTTCATCTTTCTCATAAGGTGGAAATGGTTTGGCAAAGCCTTACCGAACTGCCAGGAAGAGCTACCAGGATAGCGGGAGCTTCGGCATATCACTGGACACTAAATTTCGTGACAGACTTTTTTTTTTTTTTTTTTGAGAGACAGAGTCTCGCTCTGTTGCCCACGCTAGAGCAGGGTGGCACAACCTCAGCTCACTGGAACCTCCACCTCCCGGGTTCAAGTGATTCTCTTGCCTCAGTTTCCCAAGTAGCTGGGACTATACAGGTGTGCGCCACCACGCCCAGCTAATTTTCGTATTTTTTAGAAGAGACAAGGTTTCACAAAATGTTGGCCAGGCTGGTGTCGAACTCCTGACTTCAGGTGATCCTCCCGCCTTGACCTAGACTACTTTTAAGAAAGTTCAGCCACTGGAAACAATGAGAAAAGATTGAACGAATTAAAGTGTGTTTACAGAGTACTCCAGACAAATCCTCTCAGGTATAACAGGTTATTTTTCCACCCAGGACAACACTATTAAGTCCCCTCCAGTAAGTAACATCTCTTTGGCCCTTGCCTGTCACCCGCAGCCAAACTCCCCTCTTCCTTCTGAATGTTGGTCCAAACCTTCCGCTACCACCCAGCATTTGAGAGCTACTGGATAAGGTATTATCAACCAAATCTGGACCACTCTGGGGAGTGGGAAAATAACTGCTTGGGTCATACAAACTGGAATCTTCGCCTGTGACACTTCCCCTGCTTTGAAGCACCAGTGAGAGGGTTAGTCCAGAGAGGTGTTCTTTTAGGTGGGATTCCTAAAAGGCGCCCTCCTCCAAACTTTATTATAAAGAAAACAGGACCATCATCTGGCACCCGCAACTTCCCTAGAAACCAGATCTTGTATAAACTCCTATAAACTAAAGCGGGGATGGGATGCGTAGGAAGGGGACACAAGCGGGATCTTCACTTGCTGAAAAGACACCGGGAAACCCCACTAATACCCTCGCCAGGTAGTAGGACGGTGTGCACGAGCTTCGTACTCCTCATCTGGGAATGAGGGGCATCTTCCTAGAACTGTCCGTACGCTGACCTTACAAGGGGGTGCACGGAATGCCGCACAAGGTCCATGCGGTGCCGGAGCGCAGCCTCCCCGCAGACCTCCCAGGTAGGGGCGGCCTGCAGACCCCGTCCCCGCGCCACCCGCTTCGCCCACCCGCTCCGGCGCCTCTGGAACTGGCTTCAGTGCCGGGATCCCACGCCCGCCCTCACAGCAGCGCCGCCCTTTTAGCCCCAGCGCTAGTCCGCCGCCCGCACCTGCGCGTCAGGCCCCGCCCCCCCCCCGGATGTTGCCCACGCTCTGCTCCCCAACTGGGGCACGTCGGGCCCGCCTCCTATTGGTGCTCAAGCCGCCGTGTGGCCCCCACCTCCCTATCGTGGCCTTCAGCCCGCGTGGGGTCGGCCCCACTCCTATTGGTGCCTCAGGCCCGCCGTCTGCGGGTTGGTCATCCTACCATCTGTTGGGGGGATGAACACCCAACCCGGAACTTCCAGAGCAGCCTCCTGACGGCAGCAGGAGCCGGGTTTCTCTGGCGGAAGATGGTGGCGTAGGCGGGGCGGCGCATGCGCAAAGGCCATCCGGAAGAGCCCTTCCCACCGTCCAGTGCTGGTGACGTCATTGGAAGCCGCGACGGCATTTCCCACGAGCCACTGCGGTGCCGAGGCGGGAAATTCTGTGCCGAGGCGGGAAATTCTGTTCCAAGCCGGAGCCGAGGACGGATCGGGGTTGGCGTCTCCCCGCCTGACAGACGTGGAATCTGGTTAATAAATCCTGGTTTGACAACCAGGCACATTGTGGGAATATTGGGAAAATTCGAATGCGGCCAACTGGTCAATTATATTAGCAAGTAATCTTGCTTCTTTTTTACTTCTAAGTGTTGCTGTTACAGAAAAACCTTTTTTTTTTTTTTTTTTAACGGATTCTCCCTCCCTCTCCCAGGCTGGAGGGCAGTGGCGGGATCTCAGCTCACTGCAGCCTCCACCTCCCGGGTTCACGCGATCCTCCTGCCTCAGCCTCCAGAGGAGCTGGGACTACAGGCGCAGGCCACCACGCCCGGCTAATTTTTGTGTTTTTAATGGAGATGGGGTTTCCCCATGTTGCCCAGGCTGGTCTCGAGTTCGTGGCCTCAAGTGATCTGCCCACCTTGGCCTTCAAAAGTGCTGGTGTTGCAGGAAATAGAGGACTAGAGAGACTAGGCAGACCAATATGGAGAACAGGAGGATTGTTTATTTGAGGGTATGCACCGGATTCGTGGATTCATATCTAAAAAGCTGAGCATTGAACAAAGACGGAGCGGGGCTTTTATAAGCAAACTCACAGAAGCAAAACAAAAGCTGTTAATCATACAGTGACCGGTCACGTAATCTATAGGGAACTGTTGACTTGGCATAACTTGTGGCCTTGCGTAGCCGGTGGCCTTGTAGCTGCCTCGAAAAAAAAATAAGAACCGGCTAAATACAGACATTTGTAAATACATCATCATGCTTAAGAAGCCAGGGAAAGCAGTAACAGTAAGGGAATTTGTCTTTCTGTCTTTTGTTTTCTTTTAACTTTGCTCTGGAAGTGGGGGTTGTCTGGAGCCTATTCCTTTGGCCTTGGCTTCTCAAACAGTGTTAGCTTATAACTGTCTTTGAAGTGAGCTTACTAGACAGAGGAAAACTTGTTCTTTTCTTTTTAACCTTTGCCTTGCCTGTGACCTATCTTGGAGTGAATTAATGCATATTTATTTTTAAATTTGTGCCTCAGTTTCCTCCTTTTGATGCCTTTTATAAAAGAAGTTTAATAGAAGGCATCACTATTACTTAGTTCTGCCTGAAGAGACAAGTTTTCTTCTTTAGGCACAGGCTGATATTTACACAGATCCATTAGCTGAGTGGTAGTTTGCTTAGCTACTGTTGCCTCTATAGTTGACTGAATGCTTCTAACAAGGAGGGGTAAGAGGCAAGGGAGTATTGGGCAAACTCTTAGTATGTCCAGGACTATTCTTATTAAATCCACTGAAGAAGGAAAACCAGCCTCCAAAGAGGGAATCTGGAGACTGCCTTTTCCAAGTTTGGACTGGAACATGGGATAATTTTCTCATTCTTGCAGTTATTTCTATAACTGCCTTTCCATTGTCATCGGTTTCCAGGAAGCAATTTGTTAGACTGAACTTTCCACATACTCCTCCTTCCTGGGCTAGGAGGTAGTCTAAAGCTAATCTGTTCTGATAAATAGCATTCTTCATTTTTGTGGCTTGCTGGGCCAGTAAATCGAATGCATTTGCTGTTTCATTAGTGATCATTTCAAGTACTGCCTGCAACCTTATGATGCAGCTAAGCGTGTAAATAGGAGTGCGGTATCCTCATGACCTATCTTGTGCCCACGTAGCTGGCCTATAGTATTGAATTATTCTTTCAGAGAGCCAATCTGTGTCTTTCTAATCTCCTATTTCTGTATCTCTTTTTATGTCTGCATCTCTTTTGCTTCTTCTAACTTCATCATAGATGGGATACTTTAAAGTTTCTCCCTGTTGCAGTGGGAGTAGGAAAAAACATGGTCTAATTGTTTCAAACACACAGGACTTTGTCCATTTAGCTGACAACTGTCAATAAGCCTGTGGCTTACAGATCCAATAAAGACCAGGGGGTGCTTGCCAAGTATTTGGAGCTTCAAGCTGATATCAGGTGTGGTTTACAGGAGAGAAACAGGAGAATGGATTTGGATGAGGTGCTTTGGAGTCATCTCTGCCTCGCCACAAAGTTTTCTTTAGTGTTTCAATATAATATTGCTGTCCTAAGCAGGTTAGTTCTCCTACTGCGTCAGCAAGCAACACAGTATCTCTTGATAATAGACTTTTTAAAAGCCAGAGACTTGAACTTGTGGGCATCAGTTCTGGGGAAGAGTCAATGAGAGTTAAATTATCTTGTGGCATTAACTCTTTTGCTTCCTGAGGCCATTGGTCTCCTATGTTAGTCTTTCTACAAACATAACATGAAACGCCTGGGCTGCCAGCAGTGTGTTCAACCAGCTGAGCAAACAGGTTTTCAGCTAAAGGAGTAGGCTCTGGTAACTTCTGGTCTTCTTGCTCATAGAATGATTTAAGAGTTGGAACTGTTGCTGGGCTGGCTGGGTCTGGGGTCTTTTTTTGATAACATATACGTAGGTTGCTGAGTGTGTGTGTATATAGACGTGTATGGGGTGACCTGCAGTCTACATGGGTATGTCTGGCTTTAGAATGGTGACATTTACAGGATTACAGGTTTTTGCTTCACAATCTGGTTTCACTGGCATTTTGGTAAGCATAATTGACCTTTGTTGTGTGCCAGGGTGCTACGATATGCAATGCCAACAATCTTTTACTGGGATCCTAGGGGAACACGGTGGAGTTACTCTTGGCATGCATACATATTTGTTGTCATTTCTACAGTATCTTTCTAAAGGTAAATTACCACAGACAGGGGAGTCTTGGTCTGCTGCCTGACAAGCATCAAAATACAGAGAA